TCCCTGAAGTTTTTCCCAAAACCTCTTTCCAACCTTTAAGATACAATTAGTATTCAGCAACCACCATTTTTTCACATCATCCCGAAACTGGATTTCTTTTAACACGTTTAACTTAAACTCTTTGCTTAATTCCTTTTTTTTTCAATCTCCACCATTGGATCATTTGTTCATACTGGCTAACATAATTCTCACAATGCACCATAAGAATGTCATAATCTACCAGGAGAACTCTATGTTGTGCAGCAACACTTTCTCCACTTAACACATTTCTGTTTCTCACTTCTCTCAGATGTTTCCTGTAGCATGTGAAAATCAATTTCGTTGGATTTACCTCCACATATGTATGTAACCAGTTGTTTTGCTTTCTTCTCAAAGTAGGTGTTAACAAGCGCAATATACATGATCGGTTTGCATTATAATTAGCAACATGATCGACTACTCTTTGTCCTCTCCATTCCTTTCTCCCACAATCCACCTTCTATTAACTCTTCTTTCCGCATTCTTCCTTTTCCTAACATAGCCATTTATGTCGCCCCCACAAATTAATCTCGCGTTCATAGGAACACACATTATAACTTGGTCAAGATCTGTCCAAGAGTTTGACTTTTCTTCTTCTTCACTACCTGGTTGAGGAGTATACACACAATCGTAATGAAAATTCCATCATCGTCCAACTTAACGCTCATAATTTGATCACATCTTCGTTTAACCTCACAGACTGTGTCTTTTAGAACTTTATCAATTACGATAACAACGCCATTTTTTCCTCTGTTATTCAAACAGCTTGTATCCTTCACCAAGTTCTTTAGCTTTATTTTTCTTTCCATCTTGTCTTTTGCAGGCACAAAATGTTCACTCTCCTTCTTTGCATAGAAATGTCCACTTGCTTCTTTGCACCAACTCTTTGCTTTTCCCATTCAATGTTCCGATGTTTAAATTATCTATTCTTATACTTGTTTCTTCTTCTTCTCTTTCTGGATAACCTTTTTATACGAACCCATCCTTTCTTCGGTAGCCCCAGCTCATTTGACGTGGTTTGCGGGCGACATAACAGTACATCGCTTTGGTGGGACATCCTAACACAGTTATAGCTTACTTCCATGTGGTTTTGGTATAGGTTTTACGGCCCGATGCCCTTCCTGAACCCTTCCTTCCTGTTTGTTTATAAATTTGAGAATAATGTAGTTTATTTAGCTGATTTATATAATAAATTTAAAACGAATCTAGCGCTTCAAAAATATGATTACAATTAAAAGCAAAAGCAACTATTTCTGCGTTTGTGTCAAACCTTGCCTTGTACAAACAAAATTTGGATTGAAGACAATTCTATCAGTTTTCGAATCTTTCGTGTGTGGAAACAAATGATTACGACATTCTGGTATTTTGCCAGCATTTGAAAACACTTAAACAACATTTTACAAATATATTTTAAAATTGAACAGTTAAAATTGAAATAAAAAGAGGGATATCAAGAATTTTGGCTTGAAAGGCAAATTCCAGTATTATATTTGGCTTTATGAAATGCATTAATGAAGTTTTTAATTTATTTCAATCATACTTAACTAAAAGAGGTTTAGCTTAGTCAGCAATTTAGTAGCAAAGAAAAGAAACAGATTGTCAATAGTGAGACGTGGCGATTTAAGATTACTGATGACAAATATGGCACCGAATATCGAAAAATTAGTGCCATTACTCCAAGCTCAACTCTCTCACTAAAAATGTTATATTAATTTTTTTAAATATCTTTGTTAATTAATCAAACTTTCAGCAATACACCAATATTGTAAATACGATATCTTTAAAAAAAAATAATTTTTAAAATCGCTCCTTGTTTTTAATATATATTATAGTATACTTCACTAAGCAGGACGCCATCGAATCCTTATTGAAAAAATGGGCTATGACCCAAACAAGTTGAAAAACTACGGGTTACCTTATTGATTTTAAGAACCAAATTCCACCATGTGTTTTGTCTTGAAAAGGGAGCGGTAGAGCAAAAACGTTGGGAGTCTGTGGTTTAAAGTTTAATTAAACGAACAAAAAAGTTTATTTTTTGTTTACAATTACGTTTCTTCAAACGCATCATTTATATGTTGTTACAATTCTTAGGAGATATCAAATACTTTACAAACATATAGTTTGGAAAAAATTGATATCTTTTTAATATTTTTTGGGCTGGTCCGTCTGGTTATGTATGGTTCTGTCCTTCACCACCTGATCTTTCCACCTGATAAGCACGGACGAACTAATGATGGGCTTGTTGAACACATAAATATTAAATATTTCATAATATTAATGTTTTTAAAAAATGAAAATTTAAGTAAAAACTGATTTAAAAAACGTGACCAAGGGAATTTACATTTAGTAAATACAGTATAAAGAATACAACTTTTCACAAAGATAAAATACTTTGCTTCTGTTTCTCTTTTACGTCGTTTTTATCGTTTTTACTTAAATGAATTATTATGTGATACGTGGCAAAAATGCTAGAGTGCTCTATTCGTCCATATTTGCATTTTATTATGGAGGCATAGCCCGAAAAGAAAGGTTGTCTTCGTGCTTGCGCAATTACTCTGGATTGTCACTGGTGTGAAATGACAATCTGTAGGATAATGTGAAGTGCGCTCCACATTTGTTGTAATCCCGTGCCCTGCACTTTGTATTTAATTTAGATTGGTTAAATAAACATTTCGGGACAATTGCACATAGGACTTTCATACTTCCCTTCTTTCTTTATTCTCCTTCATAAGCTTTATTTACCACTTTTTTCTTCCCCACTCCTTCATTCTCATTTCCAACCCTCCTCTTCTCCTCTTATTTTCAGGCTATACCTTATGGTGAAACCGTAATCTATACTATAGGTGTGAAATGACGGAAAAGAGAAACAGAAGCAATGTATTTTATCTTTGTGAAAAGTTGAATTTTTATATTTATTAAATGAAAATTTAGTATTAATGCCATTCCACATTCAGCTATTTTCATTTTTTACTAAATATACAAAGTTATTAGAATAATGCATTAAATTGATTTTATGAATGCAATTAATCAACGTAATCAGATTCACATTTTATCAAACTAATACTTTGATCAAAGTTAAACTTTAGTATGTTGTATATTGAACACAAATATAACTTTTTCTCCTTATAAAAAACCATCGCTTAAAAATCGCAATTAAATTATTTGAGAAAAGATTCTTGACTAATTACTTGTCGATTTTATTACAAACATTATTTTAATCAAAAATAAAAATATCGTTTTATATTTTGTATAAAATTATTATAAAAAATTAAACATTACTATTTACTAAAACACAAAAATGTTATCTTTTATATTTCGTTATACACAAAATTGCTTAACATTTAAAGAACAATATTTTAAAAAGGGGAAACTTTACGTAAAAATTTTACGTTTAAACAAGGTGCAAAACGGAATCATCTTACGATCTAAAAATATAAATTCATCTTCCTAAATTGAAAAATAATTAAAACATTTTCTTTACATTTTAAAGTTCGTAAAGTGTTGTTAAATAATTATAATAAATAATAAAGTAATAATTGTTTTACCTTAATTATCAATACAAAATACCCGTTTACAATACGACTGCAATCTTTCATCTGTGCAGCACTTGCGAAGGTATTTATCGATCTGTGAAACTAAAACCGTAGTCATCATGCAAACTGTATAGTAGCTTTGAATATAAATTTTAGTAATGGAATTTTAATGCATTTTAAATAAAATTTATACTACTTGAATGCATTATATCAAATCGAAAAAAATAATAACCACTCGTGATTTTATAAATCGAATACTAAAACATTAATAAAGTTTAAATTTCATTTTAATATGAGAAAGTAGTTAGAAATATACAGCATAAAAACTCAAATTTAAAACAATTGTAAAGGAGTTATTTTTTTTTAAATAATTAACTTTTTCGTACATGATTAACCAGTCAACTGTTGGATAATACCAAACTGTAGGATATTGGAAGAATGAATAACCAATAAATATAATCATTTTTCTTAATGCAGCAAAAATGGACTGTTGAAAGTATATCTCTGAAATCGTGATATAGTTGGTAATAATAAATAGTTTTCAGAAGGTTTAGCAATTAAATTTCAATGTGTGAAGGAAATTAAATGCACTCAATCTCAGATATTAAACAAACATATATTTTACATCATAAATTTTTTACTTTGGGTTTGTAGTAATATTAATAAAACATTAATGGAAAGCAATAAAAAGTATTTAAGAAGTGTTAAAGTAAACACAGTCAAAAATATTTTTATCGTTAAAGTCGCTCTGTTTAGACGACGACAATATTAATCGACTTGTTTATCTGAGAACATTTTACCAGAATTACTTTCCTTAATCGCGTGAAGATAAAAATAAGGATGGATTGTTTGACTTTCAGAAATTAATTCATAATTAACAACTCCATTCATATTAAAATGTCATCGATAAATTTTGCAATTCACTTCCTTGCACTTTTTCAGTCTAAAGCTCTAGGCTGGTGTGAAATGACAATCTATAGGATAATGTAAAGTGCGCTCTATATTTGTTGTAATCCCGTTATAGTATAGGAGTATATCCAATAACTCTGACGGGGCTCAGAAGGCCAAAACCTAACAGAGTTATTGGATATACTCCTATACTGTTTATTCAGGCGAATAACCAGTAGTATCTAATAACCTGTAGTATACTATATTATATAGTATATTTTTTATTATAGGAAGGAACCTGACAGATATTTTTTATTATAGGAGGGAACCTGACAGAAGTAGGTTCTTATCTATTTCACATGAACTGGGCGTATAGTTTACTTTGCGATAAAAAAACTCTCAGCATGATTGATAACACCCACTTGAAAATTTTATCTAAAATAAACACGATAACAAACCTCTCATAGAGATTGATAATTTTACTGTTACCCTATTGGTTAAAGATAAGCTATGGTTGCTCCTATAAATAGAAGAACAGGCGATTACAGCCGCACTCCGCAGGAGGAATTCGTGGATAAGCGTCCACAATACCGCTGCCTAGTGTTCGGTAAGTATGCCCTTCATATTGAAATTAATAGACGTGATCTTAGAATAAGATTTCATCCATTTAAATTCTATTAGGTTTCAACAATGAAAGATCATACGTGGAAAATTCCTGGTTTTTCGACCTGGCCGGAAAACGGAAGTGCATCATATTCGAGCACGACCCTCACTCGCCGACGAATCCGAGTGTGAGTATAAATCCTCCATTATCATGGACTCACAGGAATGAAAGGAACTAGATTTGACAATGACCGCGTTTGGAACGATGCTCGTGAACAGTGAGCTTGGTTCAAATCTGAAAAGTGCAACAATCCAGCTGCATTCTCGGCATACCTTAGAATTCCTCTGTAACTATAAAACCGACGATTTTCGACAGCCCATTTTCGTGCCCATTTTATGGGCACGAACTCGCTCGATTCTTTTTTACACTAACAAAGTCCTAATTCTACACTTTAATCTCCTGTAATAATATTTTAGGTCCAACCGAAATCGTTATCCTACATCTTGAACATACTTTGAGAGATTTCCATGCAGAGTTGATTTTGCTTGTTCGTGAAAAAATCAGAACCAAAATTTGGCGATGTACTGTACCTCGTACATTAAAATTACGTAATACGATGTCAGGAGTGTTCCACAATCTTCTGCCACACTTATTATCAGTTAAAACAATTTTACTATATTCGAATCATTTATGCATCAATAATCTGTTGAATTTAATAGATTTTCATTCCGCAGAACAATTTTATCGTAATGTGTGATTCTTTCATGTGTACAGTATAATTTAATAAATCGTTTATGCATATTGTGTTTTTCTCAACATTCTTCGAAGACAAGTTGAAAAAATGTTTTACTATTTTATTCTTTGTTTAGAGACTTTAGACAATATTGATTATAACACTCACACGCGTGAAATAGTAAAGACTGAATGCATAAAACCGATCCCATGTAAGTTACAAAAGATTACAAAAGGGAAATTTAATAGTGATGTAACGAATATTCGGTTACTATTCGGTATGCGGCCTATTCGGCCTATTTTTCACTATTCGGCCGAATACCGAATACCTAAAAACAGGAGTAACAAATAACAAAAACACAGTAAATTAACCATTTTGGTATTTAGATTTAATGTTATCGAGTTAGTGTTGTTTGTTTATATTTATTTATAACTTGTAACATGCACAAAATAAAAAAAATAATATTAGTCACATGTATTCACAATTTATAATTACAAAGATCAGCACACGTACACATCTATCGTTGGAGCATCCTCGCACAGCTGAGGGTCTAACCCTGCCTAAGCTTTTTAAGCGCACGTCTTTGCTATTCCCTTTCTCTTTCCTCTATCGCTCTAATCCACGTATGCCTGTGCATACATCATAATACGCGCTCACGATACTTTCGATTCGTCACTTTTCTGTCGTAGAGTTCCCATTTTACAATTAGGTGACTCAGCCTGGTTATAACGGAGAAAAGAGACAGATAGGACGTCGATATAAGTCACAGTTATGATTTCACAGATTCGAGACAGCTTGATAGCCCGAACGGCCCCAGGCTTTCGCCAGTGCACGTTAAGTGACTTTCATTACAAGCATTTAGCTTTCCGAAGTCTATGACAACAATTGTTTGGCATTGACAGCCGCGAATTTCGTGCCAAGCTGCCTCGACTTGTTCGATTATGTTATCAACTCAATTTCATATTTATTTTCACATTTTCACTTCGCGGTCCTTCTCTGTTCTTCTTCCGTTATTTACACGTGTAGGTCATTTCATTGTTATCCATATTTGATATCATCATTTATCACATACTTCCATGATGCTCATTTCTGTCAGCTACAACTGTCAAGCATTAACGCGATTGGCGAAGCGTAGTGACAGCGGACCAATGGAGAGCAGGATCCTTGCCATAATGCGGTTTGCGCGCCAATTTTCGTACGTGCGTTAATCGAGCCGAATAGTTTGGCCGAATATTCGGTATTCGGCCTGAGGCCAAATATACAGTTCGTTACAACACTAAAATTTAACAATCAGTTGCAAAATGATAACATCCGATTGTGAAAGGAGTGCAAAGTAAGCTACATCGTTACGTCAAAGAAAGTCCTCGTTTAACTAGCACCTGCAAAAGCAACCTTCGCTTCCAAACAATCGCCGATCACATGACTAATTTTCCAGACTAAACGTATAAAAGGACGAGACACCGAGAATTCCAACGTTTGTCATAAGGAAGCCCCATGGAGGCTACATGAGTGCAAAAGGAAGAGCAAGAAGGAGCTCTATATGCTGCTACCTTCATAAAACAGACCTGATCAAGTCTCCGGAGAAGACACCTGCCATTTTCTCGACAGAGGGAATGGCAGGTGTCTTCCTTGATCAGGTCCCCTCAAGACTAAAGAAAGACGTCATATCAACGATCAACAAATATTTTAGGTATTTTGAATAGATAAGTGTAAACTCTCTTTGCATTCGTGAACTTAGACACACACAACACGCCGCATAGAAGTAGAATAGTCACGCAGCAAGTATACGATCTAATATCCGCCTGTATTTGTCATATTTAGTTATGTATTTGTATTCGCTATGTACCCTAGTTTAGACAAATTTATATTAAACTCTTGTTGTTTTTGTCTAAACCTGTCTACCTGTCATTACTTGGCTCTTATCAAAGTACCCATCGACATCCCAACTATTTGCCATCCTAACCATTCGACGACAACTTGGGCGGGTTTCTCGAACCGGTTTCGAATAAGTGGCATTTAGGGAACATCACCTATGCCTCCGGCTTCTCACATTCGAAACAATCTCGTGTGAATAAAAGGCCTTACGTATTTATAGTAATCTGTCAAAACATGCATAAATTCGATATTCTGCACGTGTGTTAATATTATGTTAATGACCTATACAAACTTGTAAATATTGTTAAAAGAAAAAGAATAATAATTACAAAATTTTGTATTTAAACCTTTCGGCAAAATTGTACATAAGAATCATGTCGTTGTTACATAAGATAGATGGTTAATAAAAAAAAACTTAAAAAAGATAAACTGCTGTCTTGTCGATCCATCAAATTTTAACAGGGATGGGCCAAGGATACGCCAGTAAAATCAGAAACATTAACGTAAAAGGATATCCAAGTAGCGATATAGAAGAAGATGGCTGCCGATGAAGATCTAGCAAGTATTCAAAAACTAAGAGTTATGGAGAGTTTTACAATATGAAAATTTCAGATAACGATATTTGTCAAGGTAGCTGGTACCATAGATGTAGTGATTGGACTCCTGACAATGATTTTTAAGGATTATTTAAAAAAGGCGGTTTGGGCAATGAAACATGCTAAAGCGCAAAAATAGGTAATATCGACGATTGATAAGAGTCTTCTCCATGGGCGTAGCGAGGGGGCCTGGGTGGGCACGGCCCTCCCCAGTGAACCTGGTGCCCCCCAGAAAATCACAGCCGAAAAAGTGTTGAGTCGATTTGCAAAAACAACGAAAAACTTAAAGCTAAAAGCTTTCAATACTAAAAGAAAAAGTCAACGGCTCCCTTTTTGTCCAATGTTATGATTAAAGGAAGTGTCATATTTCTTGTGTATTAAGTCATCGTCGATTATCATGGAATTTTCATTTTAATGAACAATAATTTGAAATAATTCAATTTTGTGTCAGGTTGGCTTCTACTAGGCCCCCATAACAAATCTCTGGCTATGCCCATGGTCTTCTCCTACATATAATGACCTGTATAACTAATAAGGAAATGTTTGAATTGCTGTGCAATATATTTGAGAGAGATAGTCATCAACAGAAACATAATCTCGTACAATGCATTTATAATTTTATCTTTTATAGAAGCAGCAACGTAATGACAAATATCAGTCATTTACAAACTATTATTTTTAAACTAAAAAATTTGGAAATCGACGAAGGAACGATCATAACTAAGATATTTACTATTTTGCCTGATGAGTTTAAGATATTAAAAATAGTCTAGGATTCTACAAATAGAGATGAAAAACCCTTTCGTGATTGATAGCTAGACTGACAACTCAAGAATTAGAACAAAACGTAACTGAAGAAACCAAGAAGGAAGACGTTGCATTTAAAGTATTTCACAAGGATTTAAGGCGTTTCAGATATAAAATAGCAAACAGCATTTGGTCAGACATGGTCCCAGAGAAAATGGTAGCAAATTCTGTACAATATGTAAGAAAAACAATCACAGTAATGATTAATGTTATTTTGGAATTAAACAAAAGAATTTTGGTACCGGTAGATTTTGTAATACTTGTGTAAAAGATAATCACAAGGAGGATGGCGTCAGAAATAAGTCACAAAATAAATCGCGACAGAAGGTATCACTTTAGTGTGAGTTTAACTGATCAGGAAAATAAAGAAGAAACCGTATTTCTAGTCGATCCGGATTCATCCTCGCATGTGTGCAACAATAAGGACATGCTTAATAAATTGGAATGCAGTGGATGATTGTTTAACGAACGTAATCTGTTCCAATACTTTGTTCGCTATCTGAATTGTTCGTTAACCTATTGATTTAACATAGATTTATTGTGGGAATTTAATTAATTCGTTTTGAAAACTCCAAAAAATAAAAAAATAAAAATTTACTAATTTTATTTATATGTAATAATAAAAATACACAATCTTGCATATTTATTAGTCATATTTTTTACGTTTGTGGGGTTAAGGAATTTGTCTAATGTCAATTGCTTTTCTCTCTTCTTCACGATTTTTCAAAAGTAATTAATAGCATTGTAATTGTAGAGATTCCCAAACCTATTAACTTTAACCTGGTTTGGGTGCCATTCTAAGACCGTTGTTCTGACATCTTCCCACTTCTTCAAAAGATCTTGAATAGCAGATATCGTCATTAATCCTCTTTTTCAGAAGAAAACACATTTCGCCGAGTTTTTTGGCGTTCTTTTGTCGTCAAATCCGTTTCAGGTTTCATTATATACTCTTCAATGTTTTTTATTTCTCTGATATAATATTTGTTACTTCTTTAGCTGCTTGAGTCTTCTTGATTATACTGTATCTTTCTTAGATAAGATTGAACTGCGCTCTACTGTAGACCTGTTCGAGCAATACTGCCAATCAACATCAGTCACCTTCTGCTCACTCTCTATTTTTGCTCTTATAGTCTCACCCAGTGGCGTAGCGTGGGGGCAGAAGAAAATTTCGCCGCCCCTTATTTACGTATCTCAATATAAAAGACTAAAACTTAGTTTTCCGTGCTCATTATAGAATTAGTATTTCCGTGCTCAAATAATTACTAAATAATAAATAATTCCGTGCTCATTTCAATCGGTCCGAATCGTAAGTGCGACATAAATTTGAAATAAAATGGTTCAAATTTTTACAAGATATTAGAGGAGAAGGTGGTATTATGGAACCCCAATTACATTTTAGTGAATTGTAAACAAGGTATCATAACCATACCCACAGTTTTTGTGCGAAAAGTACCGGTAACTAATAAACTAAATGTTCCTAATTGGATTTTTCGCTAGTGTAATTATAAGTATGGTTTTTGAAGGCTTTTGTACAAAAAGTCCGAAAGTAGGCTTAGAGAAAATCGGGTGGTAATATGGAACCTTACTGTATATTTTCAAAAAAAATGCTTTAATGTAGCCAAAAACAAATAGGAAAGGACAAAAAATGTTAAATAATTACCAAATTATTTACTCCATTGTATTTTATCGCAAAAATTCTTTTATAATAGAAAAATATGACCTCTGTCAACAATATATATTCCAGCAGCTCTTTTTCGATATTCTCGGGAAGAATTGGCTTTCTACCTA